GTCTGGGAAACACTTGTACATTCACAAAACAGATTACACATCATTGAAAAACAATGAGGGATTTATGAAGCATATGCAACATGCATGAATCTAGAGGACACTATGCTGAGTGAAATGACTCATCACAAAGAGACAAACACTGTAGAAGACCACTGTTATATAAGTAAGATGGTTTCAGGGAGGTCAGGGGGAGCAGAAATAGAATGGATAAACAATGAACATTGTAATGGAATAGCCAAAGGGAAGATCAACCTGAAATGAATGAACAACCAGACAATCTGTGTATTGCAATTAACAGTCTGGAACAGCACAGGCGTAACTGATAGAAGAGGGATGAGGAAGGGCAGAAGGAGGAAGCAGAGAAAAAGACTAAGGAAAAGTTTACACATAGAACCAATTGCAGAGAGTTGACAGGAACAGGCGGGGGAGGGAGAGAGCAGAGATTTACAAATGGATGAGTCCGGTGAGGGAAAGAAGGTACAAAATTCTAACTAGATGTTGTAAATAAATAATCATAATACAATTAATCACTGTTGTTATAAAAGAAGGTCTATATGACTTAATGAAGCCAATTTAAAAAAGATAATATTGAAAAAATAAAATTAATTTCCCCCAAAGATTGTTCAAAACCATTATTTCTGTTTTCAAAGTATTTTATGTGGTTTTTTTTGTTGTTGTTGAAGGCAGTGTTTGAATTTATATTGGAAAGCCCTGGGGATAATCAAATGATTAATTGCCCTTCTGAAAACTCTTTAGCTGGGTTTCAGCAGAAAATTGGAGATTGGGTACTCAGACAGAAAATCTTATCCTATTAATTTATCTATAAAATAGAATTACTGAAAAACCTAGTATGAGAGTTGACAACCCACCACTTGTTTTTGCACAGCGCATGCAGTGAACTGATAATTAACTTTATAGTTTTAAAGGTCTTTTAGACATCTAAAGAAGACAGATCAGTGAACTGATAATTAACTTTATATTTTTAAAGTCCTTTTAAAAATCTAAAGAAGACTTCATGACTTATCATGAAGATATTTTGATTGAAATATATTAAATTCAAGCTTCAGTATCTACAAATAAAGTTTTATTGGAACAAGTGATAATCTTTTGTTTAAATATTGCCTCTGAGTGCTTTTGCACTACAATAATGTACTGCCAAACCTAAAATATGTGCTACTCTTGTTTGCTGACCCTTACATCAGAGAGCGTGCTCAGGAGAGAAGGTTGAGACTCATTTTCTTCACCTGTCAATGTTGTGGCCATTTAATGAAAATTGGCCATTGTGAGTTCTTTGTGGCCATGGCACTGAACCAGCAGAAAGAGGGGGGGGGTGTGATTGATATCCAACACAGACAGGTGAAGAAAATACATTTTGACCTTCTTTCTTGAGCACATCCTCAGATACAAGAGTAAGTCAAGTAGTGCAGTAAATATTTTACATTTAGCAGGTACAATTATGGGGTTGGTTAAGAAAGTAACAATTTCTGTTTCAGGATCAGGAGCAACTCAGGGTAGAGTTCTAAGATTAGGACAGCCTCTCTCTTCAGCTGGGCTCTCAAACCAGCTCCTCTGGTCATTGGGCTCTTAGCATCAGCCTTGGTCTCTTTCAGTCTAGGTGGTAACATGGGAAAATGTTACAAAGCCACTCGACTCTAATAAGCAAAGCTAATAAATTTGAAGGCATTTTGCTCCGTGTGCGAATCTAAATCTCTGACAAATGCTAAAAGACATCCAAACCTCTTGTCCCAAAGGCACTCAGCATCTTACTCAGTAGGCCAGAAAGAAGCCCACACACCCCGGTCTCAAAATGGTCTCCTAATTCTTCTGGTTCTGTTGCCACTGCTTTTCTGCTGCAATTCTGCCATTGCAGAAACAGGATTTCCAGTTTCCTGGGTCAAAGCATTTCAGCACAGGATCTCAGATCAAAAGATGCCTTTGACTTGTGGCTCTTGATGAATTTGAGATCCACCCCCTCCCCACATGCGAGATGCCGCATTTTAAAATGACTGGTCTACATTTAGCATTCCACCTATGGTCCCACCCTACGAAAGTACTTTGCATTATTAACAAGCAATTCCGTCCCCTTTTAGGGTCACAGACACCTCACATTTACATAGCTCCCATCTAATGAGAGCTCATCTTTGCATATTTTCCTTCTGGTGAGATCTACAAAGATCATAGCTAGAAGAGCTACATGAAGTAGTTCACTGCAATGCAATTATATTACAATTACCTTAACCCAAACCCAAATCTTTGCAGAAGAATGGGTAATCTGTGGCATTTACTGCCTCTGAGCTGAGGCTCAACTACATGTCTGTTCCGACTCGATAACATACAACAACAATAACAACAACAACCAAACTGTTGAGTTTTTATTCAAAGTAACCGTGCAGGACAGAGAACAAGTTTTACTTAGGGAATCTTTATGGAAGCAGATGGCTTTGTGTTTCTCCCATAGAGGAGCTGAAGAATTCAAATATCTGATCTTCCACGTAGAAACCGGTACTTAACCTGTTCTACCACCAGTGCTCCTACAACTACCTTAGGCAATTCTTTTTTTCATATAATACTTATGATTTGCAAATAAAGCTACCATCTAGAAAGTTCATTGATGTGTTTTTATATAAAGAACCCTAAATAATAAATATGATTTTACCTAGTCATAAAATAGTACTGGATAATTTAGAAATAAAATGACCTCTTAATTAGATTATTTTTGTTAAAACATGAAACAAAAGATCAATGGATGAATTGTAACTGGAAGCTCTTCCAGAGAAAGTCTTATGTTTTTACTGAAATAAAACTGAGCTCTTAATGCCAGAACAATCCATCAAGCTGTGATTTCTTCTTGTTCCAAGACTAAGAAATGGAATTTTATCAGTTTGTACTTGATTAGTTTCTACCCTGATTAGAGTTCTTCTGCAGGGACTGGTCAAAAATAAAGGGGGAAAAATACCAAGTTTGTCAAGTTATAATAATAATTCTGCACACTTTAACACAGTGCTTTTTTAGATTTTATAGGTGCCCTTAGACAGACACACCTCAGAGATAATGCTGGCTTAATTTTAAATCTCCTCAATAAAGTGAGTCACAGATATTGATTTCCTACTACATATAAAAGTCATGTTTATACTTTAGCAATAGTCTAGTAAATGTGCAATAGCAGTATGAAAAAGTTTGAGATACTAGGAGAATTACCAAAATGTGACCCAGGTACACCAAGTGAGAACATGTTGTTGGAAAGAATGCTTCCAATGTTGTTGCTGTTGTTGTTACTGTTATGTGCCATCAAGTCACCTGCGACTCATAGCGACCCTAGGTACATCATCTCTGAACCCTGCTCTATCGTGAGCCAATTTCATCATCTCTGACAGACCTAATCCTATTTCTCCAGTCACTGAGTTAATAATCCATCTCATCTGGATCTTCCTCTCCTTCACTGTTCCTCCATCCTTCCAAGCATGATGTCCTTTTCCAAGGACTGGTTCTTGCTGCCAGTAGACCTGCCCAATTGCAGGATTGCCACAGACAGTCAATTTGTTTAAAACAAACAAAACCCCCAAAACAACAGTATCTGTGAAGCACCCTAAGCAAAGCTTGAAAGGAATAAAAAAGAGGTCTGCCTGAATAATTAAACATTCCTATCATGCATAGCACTTGTTTTGAAAATGAACTTCACCTCAACACTCTAAAAAAAGAGCCATTTCTCATCGTGTGACACCTAAGATTTCTAATGCTTTTCAAAGCTATAGAAATTGAGAAAATTTCTAACCTTTACAGCTGACAAATTTTGCATTCACTTTACGACATCATTGCCTCCCCTTCTTTCTTCACTCCTGCTACTAACTTTTCAAGTGTCAACTTTTATTCGTGGTGCATGCAATTTTTAGCCAAGTAAGAACCAGAAAGGATGATAGAGATTCTTTGCTCACATGAAGGTTTCTGATTCTTGGAATGTGGTTTTTAAATCACGACAGCTAATTAACTTTCTTGAAACATTCTATTTCCATTTCCCCAGGGAAGGTGAAGACAACTAATTAGACTTTTAATTAGACTAGAGCTACAAAAGATCTGAGCAAAGGAGGAGGATAGAAAATTTGGGGAGCTTTTATGCATTTTTCTAATTTTTTATGATGGTTTAATTATATATTCCAAGCATTTTGAATTCCCAGATCAGTAGACATTTTATTATATTTTGCAAAGCACAATCTAAAGGATTTGTGTATTATCCACTGTTTTGGATTATTTATTCTATAGCAAAGTTTGAGCAGAATTTTAGTAAACATTTTCCCCAGCCTTCTCACTTCAAGAGTGTAGCTAACAAGATTTGTGACTGGGCTCTTGGGAGCATTTAGAGTGATGAACCTTTGTATGCACTTAGATTGATGATGGTGCATCTCCTCAGAGAAAATATTATCTAATACTGACAGATGAAATGTATTTGAGAAGTAGAAATGGAACCATAATGTGCCCACTTCATCACTCTCTCTTTGTTTTACTTTGAGAGGGTAGGTTTTTCAGTCCTCCTAGAAAAATCTCCATGACTAATTAGGAAGATACTGTATTAGCCATTAATAATTTGATATATATATATATAAATATAATCAAAGACATTAATTTTTTTATACAAGTGAGTATTTTGTTATACATGTGAGTATGCTCTTATACCTGTGAGTATGGTGTTATACATGTGAGTATGTTGTTTTATGTGTGAGTATGTTATAATACATGTATTTTTTTATACAAGTGAGTCCTCTTAAAGTCAAGCTTATTTGTCTGGAATTAGTGTTTAGTATTGATTTAGAAATATTAAATTGTTATACTGAATATTAAATTGTTGAGAATTTTTTTTTCTTAGAGGAAATTCTTTATGTTCTTCCCCTCAGGGATGTTACTGTGCCTTCTCTATTGCTTTGTGAATAATCAGACATGCAAATAGCCCTCTCAGAAATCAAGCTAAATTTAAAGAAGACTTACTTAGAATCCTCGAAGGGTGTATCATGGAGTACAAGACCGAGGGGAAAGAAAAATACCAACATGGCTTGAATTTACTGAATAAAATTAAGAACATGAAAGAGTTAGCAGAAATGATTGATGTAGTACTTATAGCTGAAGAGGAGAAATTTCCTTGTCACAGACTGATCTTGGCAGCATTTAGTCCTTATTTCAAAGCTATGTTTTCCTGTGGGCTACTTGAATGTACTCAAAGAGAAGTCATACTCCATGACATTACAGCAGAAAGTGTGTCAGTGATACTAAATTACATGTACAACGCCGCTTTGGATATCAATAACAATAATGTGCAAACTGTAGCTATGGCTGCCTATTTTATGCAGATGGAAGAAATCTTTAATGTGTGTCAGAGATACATGATGGACAACATGGATGCTTCTAATTGTGTGGGTATCTATTATTTTGCAAAGCAGATTGGAGCTGAAGATTTATCGGATCAATCAAAGAAATATTTATATCAGCACTTTGCTGAGGTGAGCTTACACGACGAAATCCTGGATATTGAAGTGCACCAGTTTCTGATACTGATTAAATCAGATGATCTTAACATATCTAGAGAGGAGAGCATTCTGGACTTAGTTCTGCGATGGGTTAATTATAACCCAGAATTGCGCACAGAACATCTTGTTGAGCTTTTGAAGCAAGTCAGATTGGAACTTATAAACCCTTCGTTTTTAAGGCAAACCCTAAAAAGGAACACAATGCTTCTGTGTGATGCAGGCTGCATTGACATCATTCAAAATGCATTCAAAGCCATCAAGACACCCCAACAGCATTCTCTAAATCTTCGTTATGGCATGGAAACCACCAGTCTTCTGCTTTGCATTGGCAACAATTCTTCAGGAATCAGATCAAGGCATAAGAACTATGGAGATGCCAGTTTTTGTTATGCTCCTTTGTCACGGAAGATCTATTTCATCTCGTCTCCAAAGTATGGAGAGGGTTTAGGCACTGTGTGTACTGGGGTCGTCATGGAAAACAACACTATCATTGTGGCTGGAGAAGCAAGTGCCTCCAAACTTGCGAGACAAAGGAATAAGAATGTTGAAATCTACAGGTTTGTATCTGGCAAAAAATCTTTACATTGGTTTTTATTGGCAGACTTTGACATTAACAACAGCCTAAGAAAACTCTGTTGAATGGGTGGAGGCAGACACCTCAAATTACACGTAGTCACGATTGCCCTGTAAGTCTCCCATAAAGAACAGCATTCAGAACATGGTTTTATATGCACTCTTCGGAACATATATAAGATTTAAGAGTCCAAGGTATAGGGAAAGGAAAAATACTAACATACTTTTGTTGTTGTGAAGTGCCATCGAGTCATAGACGCATAGTGACCCTATGAAAGATAGACCTGAACACTTGTATAACTTTTGTCGTTTCTCCACATTCATAGAGTTTCCAGAGGCAAGCCATTTTGGAAGTAGATGCGACTCTTGCTTCCAAGCTTGTTTTAATTGGGAAGCTCCACCAAACACTGTCTACCATGGGTAACCATTATCGCATTTGGCACATCAGTGTGACAGTGTCTAACATGACAGCAACCATGAGTTACCTCTGTACAACAAATAGACCAGTACTATACCACTTAGAAGAATGTTTGACAAAAAGCAATTAAAACCAGGCCTGAGGACCGCAGATTAAAATAACCCACTTTTACTGAGTAAAATTAAGAACGTGGAAGAATTAGCAGAAATGATTGGTAGCAGAAGAGGGGAAATTATCTTGCCACAGACAGGTTCTGGTTGCATTTAATCCTTAGTTCAAAACTGTGTTCACCTGTGACCACTTGAAGGTACTCAAAGGGAAGTCATATTCCACAACATCGTAACAGAAAGTGTCTAATTTTCTATGTATAGGTAGGATGTTGGTGGCTCAGTGGGAGATTTTTTGCCTTCTTTGCAGGACACTAGAGTTCAATTCCCCCATCATTCACCTGTCAGTGGAGGTACTGCTCTGATCCTAAGAACAGGATTCAGCAGAGCTCCCGGATTAAAATGGACTGGAAGAAAGGACTGCTAAGTTCTTTCAGAAAATCCCCCCTTAAAATGCTAGGGAATCCGAATGGCCCCATCTGCAGCTTTTCTTTCTGCTGTGCACGAGGCTGCCCTGAGTCCAGGCTGCCTCTGGGGGCAGGTAACAACTGCATAGTAAATACAGCATATGCATAAAAATGCACAATTAAGGCATCCATATTTTAAAATCCTTTTTCTCTCGCTTTAATTGCTCAGAGTTTGTGTAAGTTAAATGTGTGTACATTGTATATACATTCCATTGTATATTTTCAATCTTATCCTTCATGGTTATCCAGCTGATAAGGCACAATGAATAGAGCTTAATTTTTTTTTTTTAAGTGTGGTGAACTTTTAAACAAAGTGTTGCGGTTGTTGTCGTGGTTGTTGTGTATCTTCGAGTTGGAATTGACTTACAGCTGACCCTCCAGTGAGTTTTCAAAGGCAGTGAATCACACGGGAGGAGAGTGGCTCATCTTTCTCCCGAGGAACAGCTGATGGATTCAAACTTGGGGTTAGCAGTGGCCACCAGAACTTTAGATGCCTTCAAGTCAGCTCCAACTCAGGGTTGACCTTATGTTATAGAGAACAAAAAGTTATTGTTAGACCTGTTCAGTCTTCACAATCCTTGTCTATGTTCAGTCTATTGGTGTGTGTGTGTGTGTGTGTGTGTGAGTGTGTGTGAGTGTACCATCAAATCAGATCTGACTGGTACAGGAGGAGATTTCCCCTCCTCCGGCAGAGCATCTGGTGGATTCAAACCCCGTACCTCTGGGATTGCAGTGCAACTTCTTGCCACTACGCCACCAGAGCTCCCTCAGTCTATTGTTTTATTAACTATGTGGATCCCTCTTACCAAGGACTCCCTTGCTTTTACTAACCATAATGTCCTTTTTTGTCCATAATGCCCACCATCAGGTGTTTCTTGATCACGTGTACAAGGTAAACAAGCTAAGTCTCACCACCGGCACATCTAAGGATAGCTTTGGTTATATGTTTTCTAAGCTCACTTATTTGTTCTTCTGACAGTCCATGGTATATTCAGAATTCATCAGCCTTACAACTCAAATGCAGCTATCTATAAAGCTTTCACTGGTGAATTTAAGTTAAAAAATAATTTATTAGTACACTCTTTTTACAATGAACTTTTTAGAATGACAAGTGAATATTTTTATTTTCACCAAAATTACTAATTATCCATCAGCTTTTCTCCTCTATCTTTAATGTGTGAGTCTTACCTAAACATCCTATATTTCAAAGTGTCTGTGAGTCTAAGAATGCTTTGATCCTAGAATTGTGAGCAGGAGTGTCCGCTAACAGGTGGCCTATCACCTATTGTTATTGTTGTTCGGTGCCATCAAGTTGAGTATGACTCATAGCAACTCTGTGAGCACAGCATCTGAACCCTGCTCTATCCTGCACAACAAAAACCCATTGCAGCAGTCATCGTGTCAATCCACTTGGTTGAAGGTCTTCCTCTCCTTCACTGACCCGCCACCTTTCCCAGCATGGTGTTCCTCTCCAAGGAGGCCCCCCTTACCAACATGCCCAAAGAATATGAGGTCAAGCCTCACCTTTCTTGTCTCCAAAGAGCACTCCAGCTGCACCCTCTCCAAGACATATCTGTCTCTTGGCCCTCCATGGAATGTTCAGTGCCCTTCTCCAGCACCACAGCTCAAGACATCAATTCTTTTTCTGTCATAGTTATTCATTGTCCAGCTCTGAGATACATAGCAAGTGATTGGAAAGACCATGGCCTATTACCTACCTATATCTTATACGTGAGAATACAGACTTATACTTCCTTACTTTTGGAAGCAGGAGTGGCATCCACTTCCTAAATAACGTGCCTCTGGAAACTCTTTGAACTTTGATAAATGTTGATGGTTGTAGGGGGCTTCAGGCATTTTGTTCCTGAGTTGTGTACGACTTGAAGGCAATCAACAACAACAATAACAACTTACTGATAATTCAGCAAGGATACAGTGCTGAGTAAAGGAGAATTATGCACATAGAATAACAGGAGATATTAAAGCTACCAATACCCTCATCATCCCAACCTCCAATGCCTCTTACCTGAGATTGTGCAGAATTTCCAGTCAGGAAGTAACTCTTGATACTGAAGGGAAAGCAGAGAAAGAAGAGGTCTACTTTTCTGTCATCTCTTAGCAATCTCTTACTTGATTCCAGCTATACACCTGTCCCTTTTCTATGTTCACACTTTAAAGATCTATTCCATCTCCATTAGTAATGAAAGAAGAGGGGGTGCCAAACACTAGGTGAGGGACTCGGATTGATGCCTGTAGTGGTGGAGCATGTCAATAAGTAACAGAAGTAGTCTTCTTTACAACTGTCAGCTGGAGACCACAGAGCTGGGATAGCGAGTCTTTGGAGGTAGAGGCTTTCCTGATGTGGTTTTTCTGGGTCCATGTTTCCTGTTCTATCTGTATGGTTCTTCTTTCCACTCGGAGGCAGTTAATCACATGGGAGGAGATTGCCCATCCTCCTCCCGCAGAGCAGCTGGTGGATTTGAACTGCATGCCTTCGGCATCGCAGCTCAGCTTCCTACCACTAGTCCACCAATGCTCAGCAAGTGTCTAGATAGTTTAAATCTAACAGCCTTTAGAAAACCCACTGGAGGGTCAGCTATGAGTCATTCCAACTTGATGACACATAAAAACAAAACACCAGGACTTATGAATGTTGCTCAGAGCCAGTGGCTAAGTGAGTTTGATACTACTACAAAGTTCAAATGTCTCTGGCACTTCAAATTCACTAGTAGCTCCACAGGAAGAAGATGGGTGATCTTAAATCTGTTAGGATTTATAGCCTCAGAAACTCTGTTAGTGGTTGCTATGGGTCAGAAGTGAGTCTAATGAGAAATGTCATATCCTGGGGTATACTCCTAGTTATATGGGGTGGATTCTCTATTTCAGCATCTTTTTTATTTTTGCCTATATAGTCTTCAGTTAGCCTCTACGTTGTAGTTCATACATTTTTCTGACTTAAAACAAGTCATTCCTTTCAAATTGATGTATCTATCTTCCTTATCTCTCACATTTTGGTGTATACACACTGAAGATGCATGTTGTCTTTAAAGTCTTTACTTCTATAAAACAGTGAGTGTTTTATTAACTATTGTTTTCTTTCTTTATATCATATCCTCTTCATAGCAGCAAGCTTTATAGTTTAATCTGAGAATTTCTTTCTCTGTCTTTAATTCAAAATATTAAAAACTGATAATAAGTCATTCAAAAATAATGTAATTCCTAGCCTTCATGGGATGTATTTTGTTCTTAGTCTGTGTTCTTAAATTAAGCCCGTTGATTCAGAATACTGAAGCCCATTTCTCAGTCCTTTCATATATTCTTTCAACTGACTTCTAGAGATTGAGGTTTCCTGCACAGAATTTCAGAGCAGAAGACAGATAATATAACACTGAATAAATATCTGCAGTCAATTATTTCACATTATTTTGTATTCAGTTACAAACCACACATGTCTTATGAGAAAGAACATAACTTCCTTATAAGGTCTGAAGTAAAAAGTTCTTTCTGGGTAAGGATGTCAAACTTGCCCACCACAACATAACAGATCCCTGTTTGTGACTAACTGACAAATACTTGGTGCAAAATAAGTTGTTGTCAAATGTCTTTGAGTCAGCCATGACTCACTGCAACCCTACGAATGACAGAGACAAACCTTGCCCCGATCCTGTCCCCTCCTAATAATATCTGTCTGCCGTACTCAAGCCAAGATTGCAGTCACTGTATCAATACATCTCATTGAAGGTCTTCTGGTTCTTTCTTGACTCTCTACTCTTCCAAACATGTCTTTTTCAAAGTGCTGACACTTCCTGACATCATACCCAGAGTATGTGAGACAAAGTTTCACCATCCTTGGCCCAAAGGGGCACCCCAGTTGCAATATTCTTCAACAACACATAATCCAGAGTCACTAATTTTTCTTCCATCTTCCTTATTCATCATCCAACTTTTACATGCATATTAAGCAATTGAAAAGACCATGACTTGGAACATATAAATCTTATTCTTTAAGCTGACATCCTTCCGCTTTAGAACTTTAAAGAGGTCCTGGACAGCAAGTTTGTCACATGCAGCACAGCTTCTCATTTCTCGGCTGCTGCTACCATGAGTGCTGATTATGGATCCAAATAAAAGTAAACCCTTGACAATCTCATTTTTTTTCCTTCATCTATCATGATGTTGCCTATTAGCCCAGTTGTGAGGATTTTTATTTTCTTAACATTGAGGTGCAATCTATATTGGAGGCTATAGTCTTTGATCTTCAGTAAGTGCTTTAAGTCTTCATTTTCTGGAGCAATCTTGTGATAGCTCCATTACATAGGTTGTTGATGAGTCTTCTGAATCCCTGTGCCACATTCCTCTATTGCCCGGCTTCTCAAGTTATTTTCTCAATACATCTCTGTACTGCTGGAACAGTATATCAAGAGGAAGCTTCCAGAAATTAAAACTAAATTCAAAAGAGGCCATTTCTGACATAAAATGGACCTTAACTAGAAGCAGATAAGACTAGAAAGATTTTGCTTCTGTTTTATAGACTGTGTAAAGGCATCTGAATGTGTGGATCATAATAAATTATAGCTTCTATTGATTGAGAAGAAGGGTAATCCCAGAACACTTTCTTGGACTCATGTGAAACTATATAGACCAAGAAACCTATACAAAGACCAAAAAGTAAGCATTGAAACAGAGAAAGAGAATACTGAAAGAGAAAGAGAACACTTTTCTCTGTGTCAGAGTTATAACTTTTCTCCATACCTATTTAACCTATATGGAAAAATAAGTAATCTACTTAAAAGTTGCCTGTCTATCTGTGTTTCATTGACTATGCAAAGGCATTTGGCTGTGTAGATCATAACAAACTGTGGCTGACTCTGAGAAGAATGGGAATCCCAGAACACTTGATTGTTCTAATGCGAAACTTATACTTGGACCAGGAGGCAGTCGTCAGAACAGAGCAAGGGAACACTGCATGGTTCAAAATTGGGAAGGGTGTACGCCAGGGATGCATCCTATCTCCATACCTTTTCAACCTATATGCAGAACAGATTATCCGGGAGGCTGGGCTCTATGAGGAGAA